TTCATTTTTAAATCTATCCAATCCTAATTTTTACAAAGGCTTTGCTGAGAATTATTACAAGAATTAAATGGAATTTAGAAGAATTTTATAAATAATTTATTTCAATTAAATATTTAAACTATCAACAAGGTACGGAGTGGTTTTAATAAATTATCTTTATTATAAAAGTAAATAAATAGATTGAATTCTAAAGTACATAATATCTTTTAAACACAAAGAACCAAAAAGTAAGATATTTTAATCACATCCTACGTTACACCAACGACAATTTTGGCGTGAATTTATAAATAAATAAATAAATATATATATATATATATATATATATATATAAAATAAAAATAAAAAATAAAGTATTAATCTTAATAAAAAGAATACTTAAATACTTTATTCTAATCGGAGAGAAATATTCCCTATCATAAGTTATGATAGTTATCACCACTAAACAAATTCTTGAGGTCACTGGTTCTGGAAAACCTCCTTATGAAAACAAAACAAAACCTAATTAGGATTTAAGAATTTTTTTTTACATTGAACCATATAAATTCAAAATTTACGCAGGACATCATCCTAATCCGACGTAAATAATAAAAACTAATAAAATTATGATAAAATAAATAGAATAAAAATAATATTAAAAAAAAAATTAAAAATAATATTTAAAGAAATTAAAATGAAAAAAAATCATAAATTAGATTATAAATAAATTAATTTTAGTATTTTTTTCTTATTTTACTCTCTTATAAACATTTATAGAAAAATTTATCAGCACATATAAAAAAAATCATAGGAAAAAATTGTTTTTTTTTTAAATACTTAATATTTTATTATAAATGTCACTATTAAATATTAAACACAAGTGAATACATACTCTTCTAAATCAATTTTATAGAATTACGAAAAATATATCTTTTTCTAAGACATTTTTCGTCCTTTTTCTTATCCGGAAGCGCATAACGTGTCATCAGATTTGTAATAGTATCTTTCACTTTCTTAGAACAAAAAGTAGCCACTATTGATATTGTTCACAGTGCATGCGTAGCAGCCATGCAAGGATCAAAATTTATGGTGAGAAGAAAAGAAAAAAGTGGCTTTATCGATTGAAAGTATCATGCGTGTATCAGAAATGGATAGCATCCGGGTATCTGTCACAGCAAGATTAGGATGGCATCGGAACTGTTTCTGAGAGGGTGAAAAATGAATCAGTGGTGGTGGTTTTTGTTTCCAAAATTGATTAGAGTCTAGGAACAGAAAACTTGGAGAGGTGAAAGAAAGAGATACACGCATCACATATAAAGAAGATAACTGTCACGAGTGTTACAAATATGGAATGACCAACAAATGTAGTACTACTGTTTCGTTGGATTCATATCACTGTCTAAACTTGCACTCAGGTTTTTCAAACAAAAGTATATGTTGGTTTGTTTTGAACACTCTGGTTTTGCGACAAAATGTTGAGACAAAACACTGTTCGCATGGCCAGCCAAGACAGGTAACAAAATCTTTCAGGGTACGTACGTGTCTTCTCTACTAAGACAGGCCTCCAACTTTGAATAATCTATCGTTCACATGAATTACCTATATTAATCAATATATTAATTATATAAATTAAAGACTTAAAAAAATCTAAATTAGATAAGTTTCTGTTGTTATCCATGTTTTCTATGTAAAATACTATGTTGTAAATCTAACGTAAACTAAATAAGAAAAATATAAATGAGTACATATTTCTCTTATAAATTGATTTTTTAGAATTAAATTATATTTATATTTATTTTATTTATATTATATTATTAGAGTCTATTTTAATATGTTTATTGAATTTATTATTTCATTTATTATTAAATCAATTAAATTTTAGGTTGAAAAACCTTATCTCTGTAACATAATTTCAAAGTTATGAAAAATTAATATAACATAATTTCTATATTGTTTAATCAAAATATGATATTGTATCATTTTCTTCAAAATTTCATATCTAAATGTTAATTGTCATATTGTTTAGAATTGATGTATTGCAAAATTTTAAGTAAAGTATGTGAATAAAAGATAAAATTTAATGAGTAGTCAGACAGTAAAAGGGATAGAAAGTCTATAATGGTTGTTTAGTAAGAGTTGCTAGAACTATAAATGATAGTTTTCGATATAATGTAAGAATTGTTTTTAGTTTTGTTTCTAATATAAGGAAAAGTTGTTTCTTTATTGCATTTCTAACTTATTTTTAATCATGAATTTTATTTTATTAAAATTTATTTTAGTAAATTTAAAGAATTTTTTTAAATTTTATTTTCTTATTTATTTTATTATTAAATTACCACTTAAAAAATTTTAAATATAAAATTTGAAATTTATTATTATTATTATTATTATTATTATTATTATTATTAGTTAATAATAATAATAAAAAGATAAATAATGTAGCCAATGAATCTTTTATGTTCAAACATGTTATAAAGTATAAACACTTAAATATTATTTGCTGTGAATAATGAAGTATTTTTTAATAGATGTTATTTATCAAAATTAGGAAACCCTTGTACATATCTCATGATGTTTCCTGTTTAAAAATGGACATAATTAAAATTATATATATATATATATATATTTTTTTTTTATGATATAATATATTTTGAAAAATGAACACATATATTATCACAAGAATTTTGACCACCATTATATCATTAATGTTGAAAAATAAGTTACATCTTCTAAGACATTATCAAACCAATCTTCTATAATATATATATATATATATATATATATATATATATATATATATATATATATATATATATATAAAGATTTAGATGACAGAATCAATAAAGTTATTTTTTTTAAGTTATGGTAACTTTTTTATTCTTTTAATTATTTTTTAATATTTGAATGATATTAGATATTTTATTATTTTATATAAAATATAGTCTAATTATATATATTTGTTTATTTTTATGTATATTTTTATTATCTTGTTTTTTAACATTTAGAAAAAAATATGCTAAGAAGTTATTAATTTTACAAGTTTAATTAAATAATAAATCAATAAATAAGTTACCAATGAAATTTATTATCCATTTGTAGATTGTTATTTGAGGTAAAATTATTAATTCTAAAATTTAATATAATTTTTAGAAAATATATTTAATATGATTTCATATAGTCTTCTTTATTTTTTAAATGCCATTTTTATAATAATTTTTGTATATGTAATTTTAAAATAAAAAAAAATTATTTTATTGATTATACCTTATTTATACTTTATATTTTAATTAATTAAATATACATGCATTTATTGAGATAAGCCTACAAGTATAGGTAAACCTATGGTTATTTATAAAGTTTAAAGAAATTAATTATATTTCTTGTTTTTACATAAAAATATGATAATAGACATATAAGAATAACATGTCCAACCACAATAATTGCATTTTTCAAATAAAATTGTACTTGTTTATTCATGTATGAAATAAAATTGATTAAATTAAATATAAACTAAAATTAAGATTCACAAAAGACTGTGACAAACCATCTTCAATTATACTCCTTCTATGTGCATGGGTGTATCTTGTGTTTCCAAATTAAAATATTTTTATTAAAGTGTTAATTATGTTTTTAACAAAAACAAATATACAAACAAAAAATTATGTTACAAAAATCAGATTAATCCTATTTCAAGAAAACTGAGTTTCCAGGTAAAATTTAATACATAAACATGTTTTTAAAGATAATCAAGATTGGATAACCTTTCCATTATGACTATTTTTGTGCAATGTGCCATAAATGAATATAGTTGGTGGGAAGTGTAAAATTTAGAATTGACTATTCATTCATTCAAAAACTGCTCAATTTATTTTGGCATGAAAACCTAATATTAGTATCATAAATTGATAGAGGTAGTTATTACATGAGAAGAATGCATGCAAAATTGGACCCCTTCTAAATAATAAAAGAATAGGGCAAATTAATGCGTTTTAAAATTGTATATAACCCAACCCAATGCATAACTAATATATATATATATATATATATATATATATATATATATTTATATTTGACATAAAGAGTAAAGCTTAAGGGACATACTTATTCTTGCACACTAAACCTGAGTAACTAGGTTTGAAAGAGTCTTGAAAGCATTGTGATTGACGAGTGATAGAGGACGGTTTTAAATCTGTACCTAATGGCATGGCTCTCATGTGGCAGAGATAGAGTGCATTAAATACAAGAGGTTTTGGTCCGAATTTAACTATTTATTATTTATGGACGAAAATCTAACAATCCAACGCATGAATTAGGTTGGTTTTCTAATTCAAACTGTGTAAATTGAATACTTGTATCAGTAAATGAATCAGCAATCCCAAACCCAAACCGATAAGAAAAGTGGGAAATTGGTGCCGATAATTTCGTATGGGCAAGAAAGTGACTTCAGTCTTAGCATTAGGCGAGGCTTAATTTTTTTTCTTGCTATATATACCAGTTGGATGGTTTGTTTCTTTACACTTCATCAAAAGGGGTGGTGCATACTTTGGGTGGAGGGGAAATTGTTTCTTCTGTAAGGGGTTCAACAACCAACTACTTTTTTTTTTTTTTTTTTTTTTCTTGGCCAACAAATGCTGTTTAATGAACAATCAATTCGTTCATCGGTTCTCTCTCTTCTCCCTCTCTCCTTCTGTCTCACTGGTTGTGTTGAAGTTTTAATTTAAGAGAGGGAATCCCACACGCTTTCACCAAACCAAACATAACATAACTAAAGAAGAAGGGGTAGTGGTACTTGGGTTGCTTCCCTCCACTAACGCACCCTTTTAAGATATCATCTCAACATCCTAGTCTTTTGTCTTTGCAACTTTAGCAACCATCGTAGCCTTCACTTTTTTTCATGGCATTCTCCACTCCTTTTCGGATACATAAATAGACGCACTTTTTTTCTTTTTCACCTTGCGGCTTGTCACACTCACCACCATTTACCTTTTCTATTGTCGTTTCCTTTCTCTGTGTTTCTGATCTGCATGCAAATGGGCGGAATGGCCAAGGCTAGATCCCTTTTGACAATGAGTGGGAGGGTGGTGAACGAAGCAGTGAGCTTTGTTGCTTTCTGTGTGCTTGACCTTGTTGATTTTCTCTTGTGTTTTGTTTTCAAAGCTGTGGACTTGTGGATCGAGGCAGAGTTTAGACCCTGTTATTGCTCTTCCACCAAGGAAGCAATCACGAGCAGTGGAAAGATCTTGGTTTCCGAACAAGGTGGGGAATCCAAGATCGTTTCTCTCAGCTCAACCAAGCTTCAGTTAGAGGATATCTCTGACACCCTTTACTCTCGACCCTCTTTGGTCTCTGAAGTTTCGAGACAAACTCTCAACGAGCTCAAGAGGTTCAAGTTGGAGGATCCCGTTTTACAGTCCAAAAGAGGAAACTCACGTTGTTCTACATTCACTGTAAACAAAACCATCGTGGAAATGCTCCAGGGAAAAATTGGAAGACACCAACCTCACCAAATTCCTAGATGGTCTGACTGTGATTGCAAACTATGCACAAGTTGGATCTCTTCTTCTACATCCTCTCCTAACAATAACACTAATGCCAAAGCTACCCTCTTTGTGAAGTCCCAATGCCCCACCACAGGTACCAAACTTTTCATCAACTAACAGATTTCTCTTTAGTCCTTTGTTATGCATATATACAATATCATGTTATGTGACAAAAATGTTACTCAACTTAGCATAATTGTTTTATTTTACAAACTACGAATTGATGGTGAAATGAGAATGCTCGTGACTGCATGATAATGCAGATGAAGTAAAAGAAGACGTGGTGTTCATACACGGATTCATTTCATCGTCATTATTTTGGAGTGAGACAGTTTTTCCAAACTTCTCAAGCAGTACAAAGTCAAGCTACAGGTTATTTGCCGTTGATCTGCTTGGGTTTGGGAGGAGTCCAAAGCCAAAAGAATCTATGTACACATTAAGAGAGCATTTAGTGATGATAGAGAGATCAGTGTTGGAGGCTCATAAGGTGAAGTCCTTCCACATTGTGGCCCATTCATTGGGTTGCATTTTGGCACTTGCCCTCGCGGTCAAACACCCTCAATCCGTCAAGTCACTCACTTTGCTTGCCCCAGTAATTACTAACTAACTCATCATATGTTTCAGCAAAATAGTTTCTTTTTCTATATGAAACTGATTTGTGAAATGAATTGTGCAGCCATTCTACCCTGTGCCAAAGGGTGAAGCGCAGCCTACACAGTATGTGATGAGAAAGGTTGCTCCGAGGCGCGTTTGGCCACCCATGGCGTTTGGAGCGTCCTTGGCGTGCTGGTATGAACACATAACACGAGTAATTTGTTTGGTCATCTGCAAAAACCACCGTGTCTGGGAATTTCTTACCAAACTCATAACCCGCAACAGGTAAACCCAACCCCTTATCTTTCTATATAAGCATTTTTTTCTTTCATCTTCTAAGTTCTCGATTCAAGTCTCAAACACTGCAACTAACTCTACCCATTTTCATCTATCAATCTCTTTCTTCCAAGTTTCATCAAACCCTGTTTGGTTCTCCCATTTTTGACCCTGTTATCTTCTCATGACAGTAACGGGATTAACACACTCTTGAATATATACGAACCATCATTACCTACCAAATTTATGCAAAGCAATTGCGGATTTTTTTTATTGATTAAATATGTATTTTTTTTCAATTTTTTTTTAATTTTTATTCCAGTTTCTTCAATTTCTTTTTAAAAATGGTCTTCGATTTTGAAATTTACTGTTTAAAAATTTAAACAATGTTGAGAAAAAATAGTCTCAGATTTAATGTTTAAATATCAAAACATTTTTATTTAAACTTAAAATATAGTTCTTTATATATATATATATATATATATATATATATATATATATATATATATATTATTTTGTATCATTTTGTACACAAATAGCAATGAGATTGGATAAAATTATGATTACAAATTCACATGTAAATTGTAAGATTCCACACTGGTCATCTTAGAATGTTTTGGCTTGCTGCAAAGTATCTTTATTTCACTTTTTTAATCTTGCAATACTCTCTCATATACTGTACATTTCTTTAACAACGTTGAGAACTTCTCCGTCAATGCATTGAAAAATAAGAATTAAACAATAACCTGATAAGAAAAATAATTCATTGATAATTAGTACTAGATGAAACTTAATATATATATATATATATACATTTATGTTTATAACTTTATATATAATCACTAATGTAGTAACAAATTTCTAAAAGAAAATATTAAGTCACAATCTAAAATAGTGGTGCTGTCACAGTTTTAGCCATTACTGACCAAAACTGGGACTCAACCACATGTCATGTCTTGTCCAATTCCATTTAGAAAATATTAAAGGATATTTGTTTTTTCAAGTCTTGGGAGTAATTTCATTAATTTCAGAGGCACATGCTCTTGTGGTTTGATTTTAAAAAGGAAAAAAAAAATAGAGGTGTTAGAAAATATAGTTTTAGATTTTGTTTTATTTTAATTCTAAGATTAGGTGCTTATAGTTGTATAATCATAATAAATAACCTTAAATTGGTAGAGCTGGACTTATTGTTAAATTTGAATGTTATGGAAAAGGAAATATAATTGACAAGAAGATTTTCTTAAACATGTTTTTCCATCTGAACAATAATATAAAATCTTAATAAATGCACCGATGTTTTAATTAATGCACCGTTTTATATCTTAATTAATGCACCGTTATGTATAGTAGTAAGTAACTTTTATAAGATATCTTTATCACAATATTATTAGAGGGTGTTTCAAGCTTGCAAAATGGAGTTGAAAAACATGGGTAACCATTCAAACATAAATTTGTTTCCTTAAGTTTAGACCTTGTATGTTATTCTTGGGTTTCTTCTGTGTTTTTTTGAGTTTGTTCCATTTAAACCATATAAGGGAAAATATTGGTAGGATTTAATAGTTAGACCCCACAATTGGGATCACTAGTCAAACGTGTCAGAATCTAAGGACAGAAGAAGAATCAGATTTTATTTTGTGGGTTGCATTAATCAATGATTCTAGGTTTGATGGTCATGAATGAGATGAGATTGATTTCAAGTATGTTGTTGGTGAGGGAGACTCTTCATCTACCATGGACTCTGGTATTAATTGACTCTCTCAACTTCTTTTAACAGGGTGAGGACCTTCTTGCTGGAAGGATTCTTCTGTCACACCCACAATGCAGCATGGCATACCCTACACAACATCATATGCGGAACTGCAGCAAAAATTGGATCCTATTTGGATGCAGTGAGAGAAAACCAAAACTGTAAAGTGACCATATTTCATGGCAGAAACGATGAGGTGATTCCAGTAGAATGCAGCTATGAGGTTCAGAAGCGAATTCCTCGTGCCCAAGTTAAAGTTATTGATAACAAAGATCACATAACTATTGTTGTTGGAAGACAGAAAGCCTTTGCAAGAGAGCTTGAAGAGATTTGGAACAGCACCAACCACAAGTAGATGACTATATATATATATATATATGGATAATTATGCTGCATGCATGTCGTCTCAATGTTTTTACGACCAGTGGTAGCTACTAGATTCAATTTCTGTTCAAACTTTTCCTCAGCCAACTCAAGTGTTCTATCTTTTTGTATAACCAAAAATGTGTTACCAAGTTTGGATGATTGGATTACTACTCTCTCTATAAAGCAAAGAGAAGCTAAAGTGTAATAAAAAGTTATATATATTGAAGTATTGCAACTCTTTATAAAGTACATTATATTATATGTATTTTTTTTAATAAATCTTATTATTACATATAGAAATAAATAAACACTTGAAGTCACTTGAATACTGAATGATGAGTTCAAACATTTACCCTGAATATAGGACTAACTCCTACCACATACATGGACAAACCTAATCAAATGAAAAAAACAAAAATAATTATTTAACTTCTATTGAAATAATAAATGTTAAATGTATAGTCATGTTAGTGATTATCATAAAAAATAAAAAATAATTAAGGTCAAGAAGATTTAATATCTTCATACTATCATCAAGTCATTTGAAACTAGAGGAGAAATTAAAAAAAAATTATAAAAGAAATTTTTAACTCTCAAAAAGATAAATATGGAACTAAACCAATAGAAGGACTATATATATATATATATATCCTCTGTATTTTTATTTTTCATAATAATATTTAATATCACTCATAAATATTATTATTTCATATTGAAATATTAATCTAGAGCTTGATAATAGTTAAAAAAATCTTTTTTCCTATGTTATAATTAAAATTTCTAATTCTTGTTGATTTTTACAATTTTTTTTACCTTGAATTTTTCAATATTATAAACATATAAAAATAAACTTAAATTTTAAAACCGAAAATTTAAATATTATACTTCCTAGCGTTTATAATTTTATAAATAACATTTGGTTTATCGAAAGTCAGTATCCAAATAGCATCATATTCTTTAATTATTTAAATTGAAAATTTCAAATATCATCCTTTTAGTAAAAATAATTTTGCTCTATGTCAATCCAAAATTTTTATTTATTTATTTATTTCTTGATTGATATTATTCCATCCGTAATTATATACAATTTTTGTAATCAATAATAATGGGGTATTTTAGAAGTTTTTTTTCTAAATTATTTTTTTCTCAATATTAATATACCTAAGCCTGTTTGTGTGTGTTTAGTTTTGTTAGTCCTATTGAGCTATATTTCTCATTTTCTTTTGTTCAGCTATTTTAGTCACTATATCAAATCAATTCAATCATATGAAATATAGTAAATACTCTATAAAGGATATAATGATTACGTTGCAGCGTTTCCCTCACGACAGAATGGTAATCATCAAAAAGTGTAAATGTATAATTAGAGTAAAAATGGTGCTTAACAAACTAGCCATGTATTATGTTATACCAACACTATTTCATATAAACATCTTCAAGCATTCAGATAACAGCTTTGATGCAAGAGAATGAGAAACACAACAGAGACTGACTTTTCTTAATAGCGAGAGAGAGAAATGCAAAGCCTAAAACGTTATACATTAAGAACTTTACAACAATCAATCAATAACTGCGAATCAGTAATTATCCTATACATTGCCCCTTGCAAAGCTACCACATCTACTTTTCCTTGTATACCATCCACCCATGACTAAAGACCACCGAGAGTGTTAAATTAGAATATCATATACCAAGGATCCCAGCGACCAAGGGTGGTTTCTAAATTAGTATTTCCTAGCCAAATCCAATTGTACATTCTTGCTTTCTCTTTAACTGAATCTAAAATCTTAGTCACTCACAATTCTACACAACCTACCAGTTCTGCCTCACGCATGAAGAAAGATACAACTACTGCTACAAGTATTTACACTACTGATGCGGTGTCACATCCATCAAGCAACAGCAACCCATCCTCTCATTAACAAGCTCGCAAAGACTGCAAGCCAACAATTCTTATTCTTGCAACAACAAATCTGACATATTAGGCACTACCTGCCTCATCTGATGTACTGCCCGCGGGGCATATTCTGCCAACCTGAATTTCATCTTCACTGAACATGCTCTCTTCACTAGAATTGGAGAATGGACCAACATCCTCATCAGTTTGCGAGTCAGTTTTTTGTCTCCTCCTGACATCCTTCACAGCTCTTCCCTGAAGAGCAAGGCGTCTGCGTTTCCGAGCTTTACGCTTGCCTTTAGGGAACTCTTCCTTTTGCAACTCAAAGTTCTTCCCTTCAGCCTCTTTTGCAGTTCTTCCCTTGCCATATCCATTATCATCAGATTCTTCAGCCTCCTTACGCCTTTTCCTATTAGAATTAGTCTGAAACAATGATTCGTGTTAATACTGAAAGATTTCAAAACAGTACATACAGCAGCAATGTCACCGAAAGTAAACAAGGATAAAAGAAAGTCATCTTGTAACTTTCAAGGAAAGACTAGATGAATAATATTCGGTTCGGTACATCTGGTCAAAACTCATTTTAACGACTCTTTCTAAGTAGTACCATCAACCCACCACAAAAGCACAACGAAGTCAAGGATCTTCATAATCCTCAACTCAACTACAACCATGTGCTGTAGTTCAAATTGCAATAGAGCCATGTGATTTTCTAAGTATAAATACAGAGGCTCCAAGACACTGTTTCATGACCAAATATACTGCAGAAAATTGAGTACTAGAGGATAATGGGTGGATTCATAGGTTTATGTTAAAGAGAGGATTTTGATGGATCTAGCATTACGTCATTTGTGAAAGGGAAAGGGAGGAAAAGGGAAATGAAGAAAAGCAACAAAATGCCAGTACAATTTAGTATGCACAGTCCAAAAATTAAAAATCACTTTCCTTCCCCTCCAAATTCCTCCAATAATGAATGGGAGACAAAAATAAGAAAGTAGGGGTTTTGTACCCTTCATTTCCCCTCCTCTTCCCACCAAAATTTTAAACCAAACAAAGTAAAATTAAAAAATCCCTCTCTTCATTTCTCTCCAACCAACCACTGTAAATCATTCAATGAAGAAACTTGAAAGATCTTCAAATTGGTTGATACAGAATCACACATCGAAGACATTTATAGGACTAACATCGCATCCTAACTAAAGAAAATGGAACAAACAGAAAGGAAATGGGGGCAAATTGCCACAGTATGATGAAATAGGACCAACATATCACATCATGGCTAAACTCAAATCTTTATGCAGAAGTAACAATCCGATTATTCACAAATAGATCTAACACGGAAATTTATACAAAACATGATAGGATAATTTGGTAAGTTACAAAATTAATTAAATCCCTGTTGACAGGGTTTTTGAAAATAAATCTCCATTATTCAATGAACAATATAGACAGTTGAAGAGTGGTTTAGACAATTGAATCCATATACCTTTGGACCACGATCAACCAACCTTGCCCATTCTTGCCTGTTCCTCAAACAATCAAGAACAGCCTGGGAGTGACTTGAGTATGCGTAACGCTCTCCATTATGTTTCCTCAAGTTGTGCCAGTGCTGTGACAAAACACAAGAAAAACAAACATGTTCACGGTCAATCCCATTTCAACACATGAAAAAATAGAAAATTAGGAACCACTGGCAACACTAACAAAGAACCATACCGGTAGCACAGCATTACAGAGTTCCTCATATGTCATACGTCTGCCTTTGCTCATAATAATAATATCATTGATTAAACCTGCATTTGGATACATGTACAGTAAGAAAGTATCCACAAATTGCTCAATAGACCTATTAAACTCAGATATTCTGTGTTTGCCTGCCTAAATTACAAGCTATGAAGCAACCTTCTCCCATTTGAAGTGCCGAAGTAAGTGACAGGTGTTTGACACTTGTCATTATATGTTGAATTTTTTAAAAATGTTTTTTGTTGGCTTGGACACTAAAGCTGATACATATGTACAACTTAGAGATTTGTGTAAACACTTCCATATGAGACAGATACCAACTAAACTTCAAAAAACTATTCATTTTTTTTTTAATTTGTAGAAAAGTAAACTTAAAATATCATATAAATAATGAAAATAATGTCTCACATCTTTTGTGAGGCTCCTTATCATAAAAAAGAACTTCAAAAGTTGGTTTAAGCAGGTGAATATACCTTTCTTAAAATATATAACCATCTTTCATTTGGGATTTCTGTAAGAGACCAATTTCTTTCGATATAAAATAATATCTCTTAATATTCTTGTGAGGCAAATTATTTTAAGAAAAAGGTAAATATATATTAAGTGTGTTGGTCTCTTATGTTTTAAACACAAGTTGTGTCAAAGTGGCTGTGCATATGAGTCCATGCTTCATAGATTACAAGAGCTAACAACCATGCCCAGACCTACATGCACATATAGTTTATGACAGACTATGTAAAAGTAATTTTTGTGATAAAATCCATGTATTTGTTGGGGAAAACCCAGTTTGCATACACAACAAGAATAAAAGAATAGAACACAGAAAGAGACACCACAAATTGAAACAGTGGAAGAACACAGAAATTAATGTGATTTTAAACCTCTTACATATGACCACAAAACCATCTTAAAAATTATTGATTATTTCAGAGAAAATTATAAGTTTTTTTAAACAAGCTTGAAAAACTCCCAAAATAATATATTTCCCTAATAATTAAAATCTTCCACTCAAAAGTTACAAGGAACGATAAATACTCTCAAATCTCTTGGACTTGCATAACTTCTACTTGATATGTGACCAACCGCCTTTTCAACTTGGGGTGGTTCTTCTCATCTTAAGAAACCTCCATTTATAGTGGTGATGACGGCTTCTAAAGACTTTATGAATAAGCAATGATTAATTGATTCTTACAATTCTAATATTTCTCCCCCTAGAAGTTACACCACACAAACTATGAGTTACAACTTTACACTTTATCAATTTATTAAATCTCAAAATTACTCACTTGAATTAATGGTTGGAATTGAAATTCCTGACAATCCCACTCTCAAATAAAATCACCCCTTTA